GTTGGAACTCCGATGCTGCCATGCTGTCCGAGAAAGCCCATCAATGATTATGCTGCTGTTGTCCAGTGCGGGATCCAATGCTGGCGATCTCCACCATCTCTGCTCCAAAATGTTACGGCTGTGTAAATATTTGTTTAAAATTCCGCACGCCCACAGAGCCCAAAACCAAGCCGAACCTCAAGAGCCCCGAGGGCTCTTTTCTTTCGATTCTCCCCCTATATATCTCTCTCTTCCCCCTCTCTCTCTCTCACTCTCTGTGCGGGCAGACCACCAAGTTTGCTGAAGCTGTGTGGATGGCATCGACTGGGCTGCAGCTGCTCCACGGAAAATATGCCAAGTACTATGCTGGATAGTGGGTCCAGAGATGAGAGAATGGACAGGATTTATGTCTTCTTACATATTTGTACCGCTTTCATACCACTGTGCCATCGATCGCGATCGCATCTTGTGGCAGGACGGCGGCGTCATCACCACCATCATCGATGCTGTATAAACAAATCAGCCGCCGGACTGCAAACATTTTATTGGCAGTGCCTGCGCTTTCGCTGTACGTGTATCTGTAGCCTCAGCTTCAGCTCTTGGTTCTCAGCTCTTGCTGCTTCGTTTTTATTGACTTCACTCCAAACACTCGGCACTCCACAGCGCCCACACCCCCATCCAAAATCCAACAGCCACAGATTCCATCCACAGACCCATCCCATGCCATCCCATCCCATCAACGATGGATAGAGATGGAGATCGATCTCTATTTCAACACCTTCTTGTGGCCCGCGCATCTGTTTGCCGTTTTCCGAATTGTTGTTTAGATTTGGCCTGAGAGACGACCGACCGACCAGCTGGAAGATCTGTTCATAATTTCAATTGACTTTCAACGGATAGATCGTAAAAATTATTTATGCAGAGCGATTAATATTGTGTTTGAATTTTATTCTCAAATTCTCAAATGTAAATACATTTAGTATTCTTACAAGTATATTTCCACCGTGCTTTATGGATTATTCAATGTAATAAAGTTTCACAATTCAGAATCTGGGGTTTTGGATTAAAAAGGGTTTCTATTTCGGAAAAATTTGCTGATCCACGCCAAAGCGGATATACATATGTATATACAGAAGTATGTATGTATGGTTGCTTTCTGCAGATCCCTAGGTCTCTCAACCCTTTCCACTGTAGATTGTTAGTCCGGGGGTCACGTTTGCCCTCTGTTGAAGTGTTGATGCTGTTGAATTTCTAAACAAACTTTCACCCCTCTCTCCGCACAATCGAAATGTGTGTTTTGTGGCATGCAACCACAAGGCTTGTGGCAGAAGTTTTTGACAGATTTCTGAAATGTTTAAATGAAACCCACCAATATATAAAATTGCAAAACCAAATATTCCCCAAATATTTGACATAAAAATCCCTACGAAATATCGCCAGCCATAACTAAATTTCTCACCAAAACCCGCTTAAAACCCCCAAAATTGCTCCAAAAACCACCAACCCCAGTTGATGTTTATTTTTAAAATCGTGAAAGAGAAAAAAAAGTGAAGAAAACCGTGTAAAAAAATATAGTCTCAACCGACCTGCTCCAGGTGAGGCTCGAACTCACAACCCCGGCATTGCTCATACACACAGAATACTGATTATAAGTACCGTGCGCTAACCAATTGCGCCACTGGAGCTGTTGAATCGAGCGCTGCCAAATGCCCAACAAGAGACTCGGCCACTGAGAATAGAACATTTCTCGCTCGACGGGACTAACTGTTCTCTCTCTCTCTCTTCCAACCCTCTTTTGCTTACTCATCTTCACCAAGTTTATCCCTTTCTCTCTTTTGCTTGCTCATCTTCCCAAAAGTTTCCCCTCCCTCTCACGCTCGTTCTTCTCGCTCTTTGTGTTTCTTCGCGTGAATGAGCGAATAACATTTGAACATGTTTGTGAATCTTCGATAAGCGAAACATTCAACATTCAAATTAGTCGGAATAAGCCAACAATTTTAGTCGCTCGAAAAATGTAAATGTGTGCCACAAGTGCCAAGTGTGCCCGTGATTCTCAATGAATGGCGGGGCATTTCACTTCTAATTATATTCGTATTAAATGTGTAATCACAAGTCGCGGCTCGCGACAGAAACTGAAACTGAAAATGAAAACGAAAACCGAGGACTTGCACAATTATTATTAATATGTATTAGGGCATTAAAAGTGAAATTTGTCGAGAGTTTTTACTTTCAATTAGCAACAGCAGGGTCGGGTCTGAGGTACCTGCTCGTACAACCACTGCCCAGGGCCCAGTGCCCAATGCCCAATGCCCAGTAGCCAGTGCCGTAAAGCCCATTAAACAATGCAAATTATTGGATTTTCACTTTCGTTCGGACTAGAACAGGTGTGCTGATTACGAAGAAGACCGTGAAAATTACAGACCCGTAACGGCGGTGTTCCCTCCAAGCCCCACCAGTACCGTCATTGCCATAACAACGGATCCGACCCCCACACACAACTACGGCGGTTACAACAGTTCGATTTCAAATGAATTTCATTTGCAATTGCAAAATCCCGCCAGAGGGGAAAAACAGACACTTAAAGTAGATGGGGAAAACCGAAGTTTGTAATACCCTAAAAAAGGGTAGCATATGCCATCAAATATAGCTAAAAAAATTCTTAGATATCTTAGAGCTTGGAATTCAGGTCTTGAATTACCGTAGATATTAAACCTCTCTTCATTATAGAGAACACAGTTCAGTTGTATGTATGTACTATCGAATACTAAGAAATATTTACCCCGTATCATTTATTTGTTACCTAAGAAGGGGGTCCAAGAAGTCTGCATAAAGCAAAATCAAATTCAGAGTCAGGAAATGCAAATTGCGCTAATTACTGTTGCAGTTTCTCTTGCAATTGTTGTTGCTGCTGACTCTGAAGCTGCCACTGACGCTGATGTTGCCATAATCGCTTCTAACTAAATAAAATGCATGCAATAACAATAAAGTACAAAAGGCCAATCCGTTAGCAACAGCAACAACAACAACCAACACAATCTTTAGCCTGAAGCCATGACAAATGACCATTAACGACATCAATAATCATAATTCAAAAGGTGAAGAATAAAAAAGAAACAACAACAACAAAACGATTTTACAGTGGAAAAACTTGACGAAGCATGCAAAAGTAAATCCCTTGTCATGTCATGTTGTAATTAAAAATTATGAAAAAAATATTTCCAGATGACAGCAGCCGTCGCAACATCTTGCAGTCAATCAGTTAATGCTACCATATAGTGTATATGTACATAGTATATTCACACACATATGTACATACATACATATGTATAAATAGTATCACTGGACAATAAAATGTTGAGAAAATGGGTGACAAAAACAAATTAATAAAATTTAAATACGATGTGCCACATAAATATAGCAGTTCCATTGTGCAATTATAATACTGAGAATTGAACGAAATCAAATTAGAAGCCGGACCCCGCGAGGAGGCAATCAAATCATCGAAGCTCAGTCGTGGGGCACATCGTATATCAGTTCCATAGAAGGAACAAACTAGAGCACACAGTATGGAACGAACGTATAGAAGAGGGGGGTGAAGGTTGCCCCTGGAGTCCGGACACTGGCGCCAGTGGAATGAGGCAACAACTGTGACTGACAATAACAAAATAGGCACAAATTGCAGGCGTCATAATACCTATTAAATCGGTAGAATCAAAGCTGCATATGTACATCTATTGGCGAGAATGGAGAAATGTGTAATCAGAGCCAAGTGACTTTTGGAATGGAATCGAATTGTTGAGAAATCAAAGAAAAAGTCAAGAAAATGAGCCATGAAATCTTAGTATGGGGTTCCAAATTTCACACATTTGCTGATTCATTTCTTAAGAATTTCATATATGAATATATTTAATAATATGTTTATCAATTCAGTAAAAAACCAGCGCGAGACATGCCAAATCTTGAAAACAGTTTCTCCACAGAGATAAGGGAATGAGAAACAAAAGAGAAATACGAGTTGAGCGTGCAGTATAATGGGTGTTAAAGACCCTCCAATCCGGTAATTGAGATAAAAGCTAGACGGTACCCACGAAGCCCATAAGTCTTTGATAAGCTGAGCTTTGGTTTAGTCATTCTTCCATTCCACACACTCTTATACGCGCGCAGTCTTATACTCAGTATCATATCGAGTGCATCCCTCTTCTACCCGCTCAGTCGCCAAAGACTTTGTGCTGCAGCAAAACAAAAAAAGTGCATTAAGATTACAGCTGTCTCGACTGAGCAGCGCTTATCAGCTGCAGCCGTTGCCTCTGATGCACTTGTAGCGCCACTTTCAGTTTCATTCGAAGCAACAATTGGGTGGAGGAGAAGGAGGAGAGAGTCTGAGGATGCACAGATGGCGGAGTGGGTGCGTGGTCCAGGCACTGGTCGAGGACGAACCGGATCGAAAACGACTGATTATTGACTCAGCTGCAATTGCTTTGTGAGCTCTCCGCAATGTTTGCACTGGCTGTTGTTGCCCAGGGCCAGCCTCAGTCGCTTAATCATGGATCAGGCCCCAGGTCAGAGAAGGAGGAATCGTCGAATTGCTGGTTCACCTTCTCACGCAAAATGCTTCGCAGCCCAGGAAATGTACGAAAAAGTAGAACAAAACAAAGAACGTAGGAAAAACGCCTGCGCATTGCACTTAACTTCTAAGCCTCTCTGACCTCTCTTCCTCTGCCAAACCGTTGCTGTTTATCTCTCTCTGACCAACGTTCTGACTCACTACATATCTCCCTGTCTTACCAGCGATCTTTAACCCACTCTCTTGAGCCCAGACTCTCTCACTCGAACACTTTGCATGTTATTTGTTTCGTTTATTTGACTTTCTCATTAACTTTTGCTTACTTTGCATCGTTCGTCTCTGCGTATAGCCTACCTGCTCAAAAGAGTATTAGCTAAGTGAGTGGGTTTAGATTAAGTAGGGCTACAATCGTTACATATCACTTTTCTGACAGAGGGTATCCACTAGTCGGTCTTACCCTGTTCTTCTCATGTTTCCTGAGTCTCTTTTCGCATGCTTATGTGTTTGCGTGTGTGTGTCGTCTGTGTGTTTGGTTTAACTGAAAGTTGCCGTCGCCGTAAGATTTGTATGCGCACCTGATCAAACTTCACGTTCACGTCATTTGCTGGCGTTGCGTTATGTGGTGTTGGATAAGGGTATGGTGGGAAGGGAAGCGTATACTTCGTGTCAACGTATCTTGCCAGGCTGTCGGTCAAGCTGGAGTTAAGTTTGTAGGAAATTTTTCTCCCCTTGTTGGGTTGGTTTTCCTCTTATTTTTCGTTCACGCTGTTTTCCATCACGTTACCCCGCTGTTTGCTACGTTTTTGGTTGATTATGTGATTTGGCAAGTTTACACTCATCTGTCTTCTGCTCTTAACTAATCTTGAGGCGCATAAAACTCCTCGAAGTATGGCATTCCTGTGGCACTTGCGGCGTTGGCAATTAAACTCGATTAGCTAGAATTTATAACCGGCAACAGTTATAAATTAAAAAATTTAGTCAAATTAGCACAGCGTCGACCACTACGCGACGACGACGACCACGACAGCGACGGCAACTGCGTGCGGCGCATAAAAAAATATGCAAACGAAAGCGTCGGCTGCGGCGGCGGCGGCGGCTTGAGTGCATTGCAGGTGTTTGAACTCAAATGTCAGCCGAATAATTGGACGACGCCAATGCAGACGCCGACGTCAGCAGAGCGGCAAACATAAACAAGAGAGGAATGCTTTGGATAACGAAACATTTGATACACTTGCAGTATCATTTTACATTGGAGGCTATATGATATTTGTGGTCTGATTTTGATCAAAATATCATATGAAAATATGAATTTTAAATTTCTTTACTTCTGGCGTTGGCCCTACATATAAAGGTATGCTCATAATAAAAATACCCTTTGCAAGGGTATAAAATAAGGCAATTCGAATCGATCGGTTGCGGCGCGTGCAAATGCGAAATGCAAAACAAAAAACTGTCTCAATAATTAAATGCGTTCAGCAGTAAAAGTATGTCACCAACACACAAACAGTATGATATTGAGAGAGAGAGAGAGAGAGAAAGGGAGAGGTTAGGGTAGTGGTAGAGTCATACGATATTTCATGCATACGATATTCGCCTGGCGGGGGGCTTGATCGAAGTACGGCTCCAGGGCGTTGACATTTCGAGGGCGCAGCAATTGTCCAATGTTTGTCCAATTCGTCACCCCCATGCCGCCCAGACCACACCATGCCACAGTCCCCACACCACAGATCATATCACTCCACGGTCCCCTGCCCCCCTTCTGGTGATTCTACCATGTACTGAAAGAAATCAATGTTTAACCTTTAAAAAGTTTTATTTATGAATTTTCAGACGATTTTTGAGATTTCTTTCCGTGCAGATCACGGCATGCAATTTGAATTTTCAGTTTCGTCAACTTAATCAGAGACGGCGGCCCCAAATGGCGCATGTGCACAAGAGACCCCAACAACGAGCTGGTGACAAATCTGAGCTCGAGAAAGGAGTTGAAGTTGGTGCTGGGAGTCGGAGTTGGAGCTGTTGGAGCCGTACCCATTGTCTCTCACAGCGTATGCATCTGCATGTGGGCGGACGCGGATTTGGCCAGGCCCGAACCAAACCGAATGGAGCTCTCTCAACGGGTCAAAATGCCTTGGCCAGAAGGGTGTGACAACGTTTGTGGTGACTGCCTGTCGCTGGCTTCGATCTCTTTTTGCTTTTGTTTGTGTTTTGGTGTGTGTGTCTGTGTGTGTTTGTGGCGCATGTGGGCTTAATTTATTTTGACTTTTGGCCATTTAACTCGAGATTTATCTGGCCTAAACTATGCGCAAACATTTTGGCGGAGCCCCGGCTCGCTGACGCGTGGATTAAATGTGCCAAATGACTGGAGCCGCGAGAGCCCCAGCGGATTTCTGTTAGCGGATTACTCAATGGGTGTGGTCCGATCCCGTCTATTTCTGTGTAGTGTGTCTCCCCACGTCCGTGCACCTCCATGTCCAATAGAGTTGTCAGGAGTTAGTTTTCACCGATCCGATGAATGAGTAATCCTCAAAAGATGGTTGAAAGCCACCATATGAGGGTAGGGGTTTGTTCTCCTGTTCAAACTCGAATTGTATTTGAATAATTAATTCCATTTGCGTTTAATGATCATCCTTCCATACACAATCATTAATCATTTCGTATGAGAGAACCCTTATGGGTTCTACGGGCTCGACTTATTTAAGCCGATTATACTTCCTTACGAAAAGGAACCATCGGAAGGAATTTTAATTTTAAGAAGGAAGTAGAAATTTTATTGTTAATTCTATTTAGAAATACTCAATCTACAAAGGTATCTTTCCATTGAATATTAATCTGAAATAAAAGTTAAAATTATGAATATAATCTAGAACCTGTTTCCCATGGGAAATCGTCTATAAATTGATGTAAAGAATATCCCTCTGAATGGTTCTTTGGGATAACATAACTCTTTCCCACAGAACTCTAATAAAATTTCTTATAATATAACGACAAGAAAAGCCCAAAAATGTATAATAAATGCACGTCATATTTTCAATTGCAGAAGCCTCAGCTTAAATTCATTTCATCAAACCGCATCCCAAAAATTTTCTCCCAATTTCCAATACTTTCTTTTGAGTATTTTCCCTCAATCCTTTCTTCCACAGCCACTTGTGAGAGTGCAATCGACGTACTTGAGTTGCATTTTCACTGCTCGTCGCTGCCACAACATCTGCCACATCGAGTGGTGTCTGTCTCGAGTGGACGCGAAAAGTCTTCAAACTCTGCTGACAGTTTCGACATACAGCACATGGCCCAATCGGAACGGATCTCCATACGTTTCTGGGATATATTGTACTCGTACGAGTATGTACGAGTATATCTCAATCAGCAGCAGCAGCAGCAACGGCAGCAGTAGAGATTCGTTCGAATATCGTTTCCCACATTAATTATGAGACAATTAAAAGATGCGGGGGAATTCCACTTGAATGGCTGTCAATGGACCGAAACAATGGGAGGAACTAAGAGTAGTGTAGACCTCTGTACATGCCCCGAAGGCACCCGCATACCGTCCCTCGCATGACCTCCAGCGTGGACAAATCTGAGAGATAAGAGAGGCAAAAAGAGGGTACAAAATGTTTTGCAAACTCTACAGAAATAGAGTTGGTAAATTTCGTGGAAATTACAACGGTACAACGGCCAAGAGGCCGACACAACATTTCGTTTCTCTCTCTCTCACTACTTCTTTCATGGTGTTACGCATTTCCTCTCAGGTGTGCCACAAACAAAAGCGCTGCGCGAAAGGTAGGTGCAGCCGTTGCTGAGGATACGGGAATCGGAATTGGAATCGGGATTAATGAGCGTTGCACACAGAGCGCTTGTTGCAAGCGCTGCAGTTGCACACACAATAACAAAGTGAGTGGGAAAATGGAAAGGCGCAACAAATAAGTCTCTCAGAGTCTCTGACTCGGAGTTTCGGGGGCAGGGACAGGCACTGGCTCTGGCTCTGGGCTCTGAGGTCTCTCTGGCTAATGATGCCGCCGCTACGTGACGTTCGTTGCCAAGTGGCTGCCAAAGAATGGATTTCTGTTTCTTTCAGTCTCTTTTTTTTTTGTTTTGTTTGTTGGATTGTGGCATTCTTTGGATCGTCGTCGCTGTGGCTGTGGCAACTGCAAACTGCAGACGCACCTCATTTTCCGGCTCAAAATCCAAACAAAGAGATATATAAATAGCTGTTGCTACTGCTGTCTGCCTGCGATGCGATCTGCATTTGCTACCGTTGAAGCAACGACCCACGCAGTGGGGCATCCAACCACCAATCATCATTATCATCTCAGAGGCTCCTCAAAATCAGAGTACAGCAGATCCTCTCCCCCGTTTTTTAATTGAAGACAAGGGAAACTTTCCACAATAAATCAAAGGTCTCTGCGATGATTTGTTTGCAATTTAAATGCAAATAACGACCACCCGGCTGTCTCTGTGTGGCAGACAGCAGAATTCAAAAACCAAAAATTATAACTTAATTTTGGAAGAACGAGAGCCGATCCACACAGCAATGAGAGATGAAAATGCCTGGGAGCCAGGTTGTGCGATGAATTGCGGCCCCAAAAACGAATGAAGTGGGGAGGGGGGAATGGAGAGTGGGGGGCTTTTACCACAAGACAAAGCCACACAAAGCGATCGAATGGCGAAGCCGACCAAGGGGCATGATTTGTCTTCAAAATACTCACGAACCCCTCCTCCAGCCACAGCCTCCGCAACGGGCTCACCAAACTCTGCAGTGCAAAGTAAAAACCAAAAAACCAAAAATTGAGGTTGTTTTCGGTCAGAGATCGACTTGGGGAATGACCTGTAAAATGTGTTCAAGTTAAAATTTCTGCGTAATATCTTAGAGTGCAAGTTCCTGAAATGAGTTTCAATATTTATCCATGCGATCATCTATATTTATAATATCCATAATTTATCTGGATTTCGCCCATAAAAACGACTATAAAAACATAGTTCTCTCGATTATTATATGCATACTCGTATTTGTATCCCCCACTTATATTAATCAATAATATACATTTACATATTTTCATTAACACGTCGTTTTTCTACTTTAAAACTTAAAGGCAGTTAATAGTAGTAATGTATTTGATTTACGAATTATTCCTAATTGAATTTCTCACTATTGTAACTATTTGAATAAATTAATTTGCGTTTTCCATTAGGAGTATATGGTATATAGGATAATGCATTCGGCACGACATTCGCTATGATGAAACATGAGTGATAATTTTCATAACTAAATGAAAGTGTATTTTATTCTTTAATATAAGAATATCTATAAGTAAAAACATGGGAAAACTATTTAAAAATGGTACCTACAACTCATTTAAGAAGACAAAATCCCTGAGAATCACAGATTCTTTGATATATATTAAAGCTTCTACCTCATTTTTGATATTCTCTAGCTTCTCTTTTTCGACCAGCGTTAAGCTCTCTTCCCCCCAAAGAACATTTCCAAGAAGCGCATCTCATTGTCCAAAAACTCCGCTCTGTGCCCGACACACAAACGAAAACAAAAAAAGCCCCAAGCTCAAAACCAATCCCCGAAATATTAATAAAAGTCGTCATCGTCAAAAGGAAGCGGAGTTGAGGCCCCAAAACAACAAAAACAACAATAAAAAACCCCAAGAAAACCAACAAAAAGAAGTTATGCCACGCTGGTGTTCAACAAATTTCAATCTCGGCTCAAAGGCAGGGCCCCAGTCTTCAGTATTCAGTCTTTAGTCTCTGCCGTCTCCAGGGGCAGGCTGAAGGGTGAGAAACCGAAGAAGGTTCGCTTTTTCGGTTGCACGTGCAGCATTGAAATGCGCCGCGCGTTGGACCCAAAGGATCTTTGCCAAAAAAAAAAAAAAGAAACAAAAAAAATAAGAAGAGAAGATCTCTGGGTAAAACAGAAAGACAAGCCGAAAACCAAATGAATTGAAAGAATTCCTTGCCACAGATGAGAGGCAGGCCCAGGCCGGGGCTGTTTGGACACACAGAAATGGAAGGAAACCCTGGGCAAAACCTTCGACGAATCGTCTCAGATCAAACGCTGAGATAGCCCCTACCC